CAGTGTCGATCTGTCGCTCTCGCGCCCTTGCTGGCTGTCCCAAGAGTGCGAGAGAGAGAGACGGGCTGTTAATTTCGTAATAATGAGTCCGTCGGCCACAGCGGCAAATTCCCAAAATATTGGATCCCCGGCAGGGAGGCGGCGGGGCTGCAATAACCGGCGAGTAATAACATGCAAATTCAAGGCGACGGGGGAAAGGAAGCAAAAAAACTAATCGACAAGAGCAAAAATTAAATAGCGGCCGGCATCCCGTTTGACTGCGGGTCTTGAATCGCTGTGAGCCTCCAGCTCCAGAGTCGCTACATCGGACTGTAACCGAGCGTGTGACCCCACCAATGGATTGCTCTCCGGACAATCCATTGGTGGGGTCACACGTTCGATTCGAATCCTGTTTAGCGACTCTGAGCTCAAAACGCGTCTAGAATTTCCGCCGCCTCCACCGGTCTTCTGGCCCACCGTGTGACGGGGCAGAGGTGGGCAGTAATGCGACACATGGGGAGGACAAGGACAGGCGGCCCAAGGATGGGGAAAGTGGGGGTGGGAAGGGAAGGGCATGACAAACGGTCAGTTCTGACTGTGTGTAATTACTGCTGGCCTCGGTGCGTATAATGCCCTCGATATACGTCTCTATTGGACCTCGCTCACCGACACACACACACACACACACACACACACACACACACACACACACACACACACACACACACACACACACACACCTGGCACCCACACGTGTGGCACAGTGTCAACCCACCCCTCGGCCAAGGGGATGTTTCTAATTTCGGTCGGCCGGGCGTGCCCGTGGCCCGATTTGAGTCAGAATGACCGTTCCCTCGTCTCTCTCTCTCTCTCTCTCTGTTTGTTCTCTCTCTGCCCGCGAGGCACCGCGGGGTATAATTTCCGTTCGGTAAACAGCGCTGGTTATGTTTTTTTATTTCGTACCAGTCACGGCTGTGAGCTGGATTCACTAAACTCGAACGTCCTAGACGAGAGTGCAGCTCAACCTGGCACGTTCTGCGTTGGATCGCAAGCCCGCAGACTGATTCCCAGAGTCAATTTCGTGTCTCTGTCTCTCTCGCACTCGCGGGGCGTTCTGTATAGCTGCGAGAGAGACAGAGTGACGTTAGCTGCTCATGGTATCAGTCTAAAGACAGACAGCTTCAAGGAGCAGGCCGAGCGGCGTAGACAGGGCGGCGCGCCTGCGCGGTAGGCAACCCAACGGCCACCGGAGCGAGCCTGGTGGACGGCGCGCCGGCAGCGGCGTGCGTTGGGTTGCCTACCGCGGCGGCGCGCTGGTTGCCCTTACGTGGAGGAAGTCGGTGCTGGCTGTTCCGCGTGTCGCCGCGGAGACGGGCTGAGTTCCCACCCCCTAACAGTGTACTTACCCCGGTCCCGGACGCGGCGTCTCGACGGTGCCGAGTGATGCAGCCAGCGCCATCTATCGCCGCCGGCCGGGGGATTTTCTGGGGTGGGTTGGCCATGCTGCCGCCATCTGCTGGATGCCTGCGAAACCGGGCGACTTGTCCCTGGCGATACCCCGGTCGCAAGGGGCCTCGGCGCGAGACGCGGGGTATCGCCGCCGACTCCTGGCCGTGGAGTCTCTGCGCGCGGCGTGTCGACGCTGCAGCCGTACTCCCTGTTGAGTCGGGGGTGGCGCCGGGGGCGGGGGGCGACGTTGCTCTGCAGGGTGGCTTCGTTTAGTGTGTTGGCGCGCTGTCTTTCTCGGACGTTGTACGAGACAGAGACAGAAGGGGGGGGGGGGCGTCCGGAATCAGCCGATGCATCGGGCCCCATTTTTACTGCTTCGGCAGACTGCTTCCGAGAGTCGTTTTCGTCTCTCTGTCTCTCTCGCACCTACCAGGGACGCCCCATGAGTGCAAGAGAGACAGAGCGGCTCTCGGAATCAGCCTGCTGGTATGCAGAGGTCTCCCACGGTGTCATGAGGCGATTCCAGGAAGCGCAGCCGTTCCTAGACTAGTCCCGTTGTGCCCCGTGGTTAAGCCAAGCCCATTGGGCCCTTTCGGCGGGTCGGAGGTGGCGCGCTTTTCGGTGGGCTTCGCCGGGCTTCGCACTGGCTGGAATGCTGGAATGCGGTCCAGGCGTCGTCCAGCGGCCCACCGGACTCCAGGCGGACTCCAGGCGGACTCCAGGCGGACTCCAGGCGGTGTGTGGGAGTTCAAATCCACACATCACCGACCTGGAATGCGAGGCAGGCAGCCCGGTCATCAGTGCAGTCATTTACTACTTTGATTTAAGGAATCCAGTTCCGGGTGTCCCGGCGCGTCCCGGCGCGTCCGCGCTCACGCCCTCTCCGACGGTTAATGAAGTAGCCGCCGGACGCCATCAAGCACGGCGTGTTGTCGGTGGCCGTTGGCTCGTGGATTCCACAGCAGACTGATTCCGAGAGTCGTTTTCGTCGCTCCGTCTCTCTCGCACCGGGACGGGCGGCCCCATGAGTGCGAGAGTGACAGAGCGATGAAAACGACTCTCGGGATCAGTCTGCACGTTGAAGAGAATGACCGTACTGGATCGCACACCCTGGACGGTTAGACGGCGTGTGAAGGCTGGCCCGATGACAGAGTCATTTGCAGCAGTCCAGTCCGCCGGGACGGGAAAAAATTAAGAACGGCGTGGACTCGAACCCCGGTCGCCTTCGTTGGGGGTTCAAAAAAAAGCCAACCGACACCGCATTGCAAATCCGGTGGCCAGTCTGCTTCCTCAAAAATTGGCAAGCTGTTTTGAATTCCAAAAATTGGCAAATGGATTTTAATTAGCTTTCCCACTTAAGTCACCCTAGCTCAAATTTGTCAAACTTGCCAAGCTTCGGCACTCAGACCGACTTCTCAATTTTGGGCCAGTAGGCTGTCACCGGCGCTGCAGTGCTGTGGTGTTACAATTCCAACCATTCCGATACACAACAAAGATCGAAAAAAATTGTACTAGACAGTATTTGAACCCAGGACCTTTACAGTGGAAAGCGACCCCTTTGCGCGCACGGCCACCGGATGTCCGCTGGGCGGCGAGGGGGCCACCAAAGTGGCGGCCGGTGACTCACACTCACAGGTCCAGCGAGGATCGGCGGGAAAGGCGAGGCCAGGCGAGGCAGCGCGATGAAGACAGAGATAGCGCGCGGCGGCGCCTGGCTGTGCCTCGCGTTCCCAAGCCGTCGCTCCGTCTCTCTCGCACTCATGGCTCCGCCGGCCCCGCCCCGGGACTCGCCGTGAGTGCGAGAGAGACGGGGATCAGCCTGCAGGCAGTGTGCCACCCGCACCGCGCGCCCTCGGGCTGCTCGGGGCAGGACTGCACTCTCATTTCGGCGCATCAAGAGGTTGTCTCTCTCTTTCCCACGCCTTGTGCGGTACTGCCCGGTGGGTACTGCCCACGCCGCCGCGACGCGACGCCCACCTGGCTCCTCGTGTGGGCGATTGGCGTGGCGTGTGGGCAGGGCGTGGGCGAGTGGCAAGGCTCGCCCTCACAATCAGCAGCGGTCGACCGTGATCCTCATGAACCGACTCGTTAAATTTTGTTTTCAATGTTTCTCTGCTCCCTGCCGCCTGAGCCGCGAGAGAGAACGCTGTCGAGTGGTTCGCTAAGTCCGTCTCGCGGGCCCGCGCTATAAAATAGCGGTGGTCCGGCTCGGCGCTTCTAGGAACCGCAGACTGACTCCGAGGGTCGTTTTCGTCGCTCTGTCTCTCTCGCACCTACACGCAGCGGCCCATGAGTGCGAGAGAGACAGAGCGACGGAGGCGACTTCTGCCGGCGAGGCGTGGGGCCCAGGGGTCCAGGGCGACAACGCGGAGCCCGCTCGCCTATCTGGACTGCGTTCGCGTCACAGAGTCACCGACTGGTTCAGAGAGTCGTTGTCGTCGCTCTGTCTCTCTCGCGACCTCACGGGACGCCCCATGAGACGAAAGAGACTCTCGGAGTGAGTCTGCTCGACGCGTCCTAAAATGAGCCGCGTGGTTCCTGCCCCGATGGAGACGTCGTTTGGGAGGTGCCGCTGTTCTCACTCTTCCCACGGTCGGACTGCCAGCAGACTGATGCCGAGGGTCGCTGTCGTCGCTCTGTCTCTCTCACACCTACACCGGACACCCCGTGAGCGCGAGAGAGACAGAGCGACGAAAACGACTCTCGGAATCAGTCTGCTGGCAGACACGAGCTATAAAGGACCAGATCGCGCTGCCTCGCCGCTTATCGGAATCCAAACAGGACAATATTGCGAGGCGGACGACTTCCCTGGAAGTGAAAAAGGTGATGGAGAGCCACCGTGTGTGGCTGCTGTCTGTCTGTATGTCTGTCTGCATGTCTGCATGTCTGCATGTCTGTCTGTCTGCATGTCTGTCTGTCTGCATGTCTGTCTGTCTGCATGTTTGTCTGTCTGCATGTCTGTCTGTCTGCATGTCTGTCTGTCTGCATGTTTGTCTGTCTGCTTGTCTGCCTGTCTGTCTGCCTGTCTGACTGTCCGCGGCACACTTGTCACCAGTCAATTCCTCGCGTGCCGCCCTGGTGCGGTTTGACGCGTCGTGGAGTGGTCGCGACGCCGCGGCGCCGCCCCGGGCCGCCGGATGTCGTCTGCGGTTGCAGGAACACGTGTGAGCCGAGGGGCGTTTTCGACGCTCTGTCTCTCTCGCACCATACGGGACGCGCCATGAGTGCGAGAGAGACAGAGCGACGAAAACGACTCCCCGCGTCAGTGTGCCGGCGGACAGGCGCGGCTGCCTTGCCCCGGGCTGCCTCGGCTCGGCTTCTGTCGGGTTTCGCTTGAGAAACGAATCGTAACTAAAATAGTTGTAAAACAAGATTGAAACAACTAATGTAAAGTTAATCGACTTGACTTATTCACCACATTTTCTTTGGTAACTTAGCATAGGCTCGGAAGTTGTGTGAAATTTTTGGGAATGGAATGCAACAAATATTTTGTATAACAATATTTATTAACGAAGACATGTATATTTACAAAAAAGAAATCAAAAAACAATAATACGCATTTTGTCGTGTTCTTATGATACAGTAGGAAAAGTGGGTTGCCACTTCCAATAACGATCAATGATCTTGTACTATAAAGAGATTCAACAAAAAGTACGAGAAAGAGTATTACATCGCACAGCTGTGCACCGTTACAATCTAATTGCTTGACAGGACAACAAGTTTAAGTTTAATTGAAAAAACATTGCAATAAATCCCTTGTTCCTAAAAGCACGAAAATCACATTTACAGAGAATTCAGCACTCTGATATCACTAGGCTCGAGGTTTTATACTTTAATATCTTACGAAGGAAATATTTCTGGGCAGGCAGGGGGAATGTTCGCGATTGCTCAAAAATGTGCAGAACGCTTGGCAGATCATTATGAAGTAATTTGTAAACATTTATTTTAAAACTAAGTCTCTTGTGCCGCATCAATATAGTACTTTGTTTTTAATTATAAGTCGAGTGCTGCCTAGAAGAAAGTTGCACTACCTACACCGGTGATGTGAGAGAGAAACAAAAGTGGTTATTGAGGTACATGGTTTCCTACAGACTTTGGAGCTCCAACTTACAGGCCACAAAACGCTCCAGGAAACTAAGTTTAAAAAATAATTTGTACAGTTTGCAGTGTGGCGCGTGAGCCAGGCTTTTGCATTCAAGTCAGGTTATCAGAAACAGTCAGTTCGCGTTAGGAAAATTGCAGGACAGCTAGTCGCTTGCTTATGAGATCCGTGGGGAAAGTCCTCGCAGTACGCTACGAGGGTGGCGCTGGGGGCGGTGGGGGCGGCGGGGGCGGCGACGGCGACGTGGGGGCGGCGTACCGCTGCATGGAGTAGTGGCCCCAGTAGGGCGGCGGCGGGGGCGGCCCGGGGAACAGGATGCCACCCGCCGCAGCCGCCGCGGCCGCCGCCATGGCGTGGTGGTGATGGTGATGGTGGTGAGGGTGAGGATGGTGCGGGTGGAGGTGGGTCTGGGGGTGGGGCGTGGCGGGCTGCCCGGGGGAGATCCTGCAACACAAACAGGTGCACGTCTCAAACCGCAGTTGGAAATAGGACCCACTTCTCCCTTGCAAGAAGTTTCATTCATCAAACAGCTGCTCATCAACAGCAGAGTGGTCTTGAGCGCAGTCTTGCCAATGCCTCTCGCTGCACTGTGAAGCAGAAGACCGGTGGAGGCGGTCATAATTCTAGACGCGTTTTGAGCTCCAGAGCTGCTAAACAGGACTCGAACCTAGCGCGTGACCCCACAGACAGATTCCTCGTTGGGAGAGCAATCCATTGGCAGGGTCACACATTCGGTTCGAGTACCACCTAGCGACTCTGGAGCTGAAAACGCGTCTAGAATCTTGGCCGCCTCCACCGGTCTTCTGGCTCACTGTGCGCTGCGGTCTAGCTCCTCAAGTCAAGTCTAGGACCCTAGCGCCTGCCGCGGTAGGCCGCACGGGCGCAGCCGCGAGCGCCGGGTTGCCCGCCCCGTCCCTCCGCAGGCGCTATCCGTGCGCTCGGCGCGGCTCGGCGCGCTGGCTTGCCCGCTTACCTGGAGCTCTGCAGCTTGTGCGGGTACAGGGCGGAGCCCAGGTCGCCGGGGTGGTGCTGGTACTTGGAGGGGTAGGCGCTGAGGGGGCTGCCACCGAGAGTGGTGGTGCCGAGGTGGCTGGAGCCGAGGGCAGGCCCCCCAAGACCGCCCCCCAGGCCGCCCCCCGCCGCCCCCGCGCCCCCCTGGGCCTGCGCCTGGCACGCGAGCATGAGTCCATGGAAGTCGAACTTGTAGGCGTAGCGCTTGCCGTGGACCTTGGTCATGATGTTCTTGTCGTAGTAGTACCTGCAACAACGTTTACCAATTTCATATCATTTTCAGAAGCTTGTCTGTTGTTCGCGTGCCGGGTGTGTGCGTGGCCGAAGAAATTCGCCTCGTTGAAGACAGAAAATCAAAATTCCTTTCGTACAGTGTGTTTCTTCTTTTTTTAATACGTTCGGCAGACCCACCATTTGCGCAATCTTATTAATGTGACCCGCTTGTCAGGTTGTCGAGTCGGTCTGCTTTTAGAATAACAAACCGCCGCACAAGCGGCCTGCGCTTCTCGGAAGAACTTTTGGATCCAGTCCTGGCTGCTGGGCCGGCTGTGCCCTTTCGCCCTGCGTGAGCCCTTCGCACACGCTACCAATTATCGACACTGCCAAAATAGGGTTATTGTTTTTGGAAACACCTTGCTCCAACTTACAAACAGCTGACGTTTTCTTTTAAAAAAATATGAAAAGAAGTCTTGGTTTCTGATTTTCCCAGGAAACCTGTAGTAAAGACTTAAGTGATTTCCAGGGAGTTCCTGGGTAAACCAGAAACCATTTTTACCGTGGTTAGACGGTTGCGCATTTTTAGCGAAAACTGACATAGTGAATGTGTTCACACAGTCATTTATTTTCAAAGCATTTTTTTTAATATTTGCTTTTTATGTGTCTGTATTGTGTTATTTATAATTTTACCCATTGCCGACTCTCCATTGTACTGTACCATAGGCATTTTTTTTTTCAAACTTAAATTTCAAATTTTATTTTATTTGAAGTAAGTGAAACTCACCTGAGGGCGCGGCTCAGCTTGTCGTAGTTCATATTGGGCTTGCTCTTCCGCTCCCCCAGCGGCGCGCCACCTCGTCCGGGTCGCCCAGCTTGAACTCGCCATTGGTCCCCTCCCAGCAGATGAGCGGCGCGTTGGACGAATCGGCGAGCAGCTCGAGGAGGAACTGCCACAACTGGATCTGCCCCGAGCCCTGGGCCACCAACCGGGAGGAGGCCGCGTTCAGCAGCTGGTACGGGTCTGCGGGACAGAGAGAGAGTGGCGGGGCCGGCGTCAGGCGGGCGGCAGGCGGGCGGCAGCGCGAGAGCAAGCGAGAGAGGGCGAGGCGGGGCCCGGCCGAGCGAGTGAGAGGCGGACCGCGGGGCGCAGGGGCTTCGCAGAGCGAGAGAGAGCGGCGCGCCGCGCACAGCCTCGCCGCGGCCAGGACGGCCAGGGCGCACGCGCGGCGCTCGGGGGCGTGGTGAGTCGCTGGCGACGCCGGTGGAGTGGGGGGAGGCTGGAGGAACAGGACCACCAACTTGGTGGGGTTTGCAAATTAATCGCTGCTAAGGTGGCGGTCCTGGTGCGTGATGGCCCAATGAGAACAGGGGGACAGCATCAGAGCGAAATGACGTCAAGTTTCACGTGAAAATGTACCAAATTTTGATGAAAATCGTTCAATTTGAGGTCATTTTTGACATTAGTTTACAAGAAAAGCACTATGCTTCGACGAATTTAACTAATTTCAAATTAATATGGTTTTTCATAAATGAGCTCTTGTATTCTAAATCCCTCGGGACATTACTTTGTCTAACGACTTATGCAATTTGTAAGCACATCCGACGATGAGACAGTTTCGTTCCCGCCAGGCGACTAGTATTGTCCGACGCCTGCTGCTATTTGGACTTTTACTAGACGCCTTGCCTCACCTGCCAGGTGGGATAACATGGTTTCACTATCGGGTCTGCTTAAAAATGCACAATCCATTGGACAAAGTCACGTGCCATAACATTTGGTGCGTGGAAAAATTGTGTAACTTTTCACTGTAATCCAATCTGTATTTTCGGAGAAAATAGCCACCCTTTGTCAGTTGCAATATTGTACCATTTAATGTCGTTTAAGGGTCTCGTTCTAAATGATCGCAACACGAAACGTCCTTTCTAGCCTTAATAGCTAGATCAGCCACTTTTCTGGCAATCACCCCTTTCTGGAACCGCTCGCCCCCGGGCAAGGACGATACCACGGACCCCTTGACAAACGGCTCGTATTCTATTGACGGCGCTTCGTTCTGGCCAACCCTTTCGGTTGGGGTCGAGGAGCGGTGATGGGGTCATCCGGGGTTCGATCGCCGTCCCCGCCGAAAACGTCAACAAATCCCTTTATCTCCTCTCCGGCATCGCGTGGAAAAAGTGGCGAGGCCGCGGCCGGGATTCGAACCCAGGATCTTTGATTCCTTCTCTGGACAGCTGGCCGGAAGCCCTACGGTGGTGTGGCGAGGATGTGTGTGGCTTCACTCTCATCAAGCACACTCATTGAAAAGGACCGGCCGGTCAACAGTGGAAACGTCCTGAGGGGGAGAAGAGGACCGTCGAGAACGGGCTGCCGAGGCTGCCGCAGTCCACGCGAAAGGTCACGAACGAAACTGCAAACAGGGGTGGAACTTACAGGAAAGAAACTACCAAGAACGGAACTAACAGGAGGTTACACTGATAGAAAAAGTACAAAAAGTACGAGACAGGTCTGGTCTATTATTTGCCTGGACCGTCAGTAAGCTTGCAACCTACGTAGGCACCGTTCATGTTTTCCGCACCAGTTCACGGAGATCTTTCTGGAATTCTTCTTCGGAATCCAAACTGCCAAACTGCGGAATTTTGAACAGTGTATGGCGTGTGTCGCGGACCTGAAGTGATGACTCTAAAAAGTAGTTGAAGCGAGAATCGCTCGAGCTAACAAAAACTGTTGCGTGAAGATGCTAAACAAGCTGTTGCACGAAGATGCTAACTGTTTACCTTCGAACATGGAGATGCATAGGGACAGCATGGCTCGGCAGCGCGCGGCGCGGGCCGCCCCTACGTCCGCGAGTGCGTGAAGAAGGATTGCCGATGGCACCGCTTCCACGACATGGCCGCAGAGAAAGGAGTGAGCTTAGACTTGTTGGTATCCGTGCACAGCCTGGGATAGAGGCCGCCGCCTCACATGACGACTTAGTCAAGGTGTTGTCGGGCTGCTTCTGGACTACACTGGGCCGCGCGCGAGTATCACGAGTGCCGCGAGCCGCTGCTGGGGATTGCAACGCACTGGCGCGACCACCAACTTGTTGATGGAGCGGAGGGAGACTGAGGCGCGACGCCCGCTCCGCCCTGCAGCATCCCCTGGAGGGCGACCCCCACCACGACGCGGCGCCACCCCGCCGCCGGGGTGGGGGTGGAAGGGTGCCCGGTTAATTGAAAAACTAAGATCGGCGGATCAAGTTATTTGATTCTAGAAAGGATCAGTTTGACACCCCTGTTGGATTTTCAAGGCATCACACGTCACAAAAAAATGTTATCCAAGAGAAAATTTTGGACTAAGTTCGGTTTAAATAAGTTTTCGGTTTTAAGTCAGTACACTAATCAGGACAACGTCACACAACCCTAGAAGAAACCATTCCAAAACAACACGAAGGTACTCTAGGTAGTGGCAGTGCTCCCCACCCCAGACGTACGATTATGAGGGTGTAACCACGCGCCGTGCTGTGGCACGCTGGGGTGAATAATCACGGTCTAGTTGATGATGATCTCGCGCGTGCAATTCATAAGCGTGCTGGCGGCGGCCAAGCACCGCGTCATCAAGATGTCACGCCGCCACTCGGGGGGTTAATGATGTGGGCCTTGCGGCCAGAGTGGCGCGTTTTGGGGTGGAGTGGTAAAGCCGAGTCGCAGGCAAGTGTCAGCAAGTTGTGCAACATTTCAGGTAGACGCTTCATTAATTTTACTGGCGGTCAGTGCTTGAAAAAGAGTGCGAGTGAGAACTTGTGTACCGTGGCGGCAAAGAACTACCATGCTGCTGGCGGTTGTCTAACTGCAGACACTGTAATCACACTGTAATCACTAAAATATCAGCCTGGCCCTGGTGAGTTCGGACAAAGTCATCATTGGGACGCTTTCAAATCGGCACTCAGTGCACGGCAGAGCCTCTTCTCTCCTTTCCTGAACTCATTTTGAGGTAGCGCCCCAGCTGCCGTGGCAGAGGCCTCCTCTTTGACAAATCGGCGGCCGGGCAGGTCGGCCTGATGCCATCAGCAAGCAGTGCGGCCTACCCTTGCCTGTCGACCTTTCTTCTTTAATTGCCCTTTCCGCAGTAAATGGCCTTCTTTTCCGGCTGACGTACACCTCCCTCCGGACTGCAAGGGGCCGCCGGCTCTTTCTATTATGGGGTGTTCTGGCGCCACGCAGTAAGCGGTCCGAACCCCACCTGAATACCAAACAGTGGCAAGCGGCGCCGAGCTCAGCGGGATATCGCGGGGAGTGGAAGCCGGGGTGGAGAGAGAGGCTCGCTTTCGACAATTCCTCCCTGCAGTTCCTTTCTCATCTGACCCACTCACGCAGAGGCAAGTTTTGTCAACTTTGCCCCATTTGACGTCACACTGATTCCTATGACTTCCCTAGCTGTTCAGCATACGGGTGTTCACATCTATTGCTTTCAACTTAATAAGACGAAAACTGTCCTCGTGTTTGAAGACGCTTGGCAGTAGACTCGCCGAGATAGGACGCCACGACGAGGTGCTCAAGACGCGGAGCCGTAAACCAAAACTTGATTAAACCGTCGAAGTGCCGGGCAAGTGTGTGCCTGCTAAACCGTGCGGTATTGGCGGTAAAGCGACCTATGCTTGCTTTATGTAGCGTCTCGCAAGGAGATGACGGTGAACATCCAGCAGGACGGAAATTTCGAGGCATTCCAGGAGGTATAGCAAATACACTAGAACTTTTGCAATGCCCTGTTTAGCATAGGAACAGAACTAAATTGGTTAGGTTAGGTTAGGATAACTGGAAGAAGATAGTTGTAAAAATCGGTGAGCCTAAGTTCTTGACAGTGCGGGCGGCCTTTTTTGCCCTCGGTGACCTCCACTTGACGCAGACGCACGCCGCCCTCACGACCTGCGACCCCCTGCCTCTGGCTCCAGCCTGGCTCCAGCCCAACGTTCTCCAGCGGGCGACTCCAGCCTGCCCTGGCCCGCTCCGCAGCCTCAGCCCGCGTGGATACGGGGAGACCTTACGCTAAAGCCCCGCCAAGCCCCTCGCATGATAAATGACTGTTTAAAACAACGAAGATGGCTATAACGCACCCTCTTCCTCCCACCCCGGGACTCCCCCACCCCCTCACTTCATTGTGCAGAGCGGCCGCGGAGCTTCGCGCAACTACTGTGTCTCTGCGGTGCACCTCTCACCACCACCGGGTGTTTTTGTTGTTCTTTTAAATTGCTGTTTTGCTAGCCTAGCCAGGCAGTGACGCGATCGCTTACATTGAACAGGGATTGACCTTTGAGACTGGCAGTGACGCAAGGGCTGAAGTGATTACAGAAAACGCATCCCCACCTGGGCCACGTCCCGCCCCATCATGACCCCCTGCACTGCCCTGCCCCTCCTGACCCCCCGGTGCTCCTGAGCAGCTCCGATATTGTATTCTTGATTAGATGGTTCCTCCAACGGGAAGCGAGGGAAAGGCGGGGGATTTGCTCACCTTGGCTCTGTTTCCTCTTTCTCCGCCGCCGGATCCTCCTCTTCCTCCACGCCCCATTCTCCTTCCTGCTCTTCGTTTTGCACGCTACCTTCCTGCACTTCTCGTTAGGACCTGACGTTCAGAACGGGTGGTTTTTTTTTCAGATGCATGCATTGTTATTCAGTTCTCTTTCAGAAATTGATACTTGACACCCTCCTACCCTTTGCTATTTGCGAGCTGTGTCCGATGCGAACGGACCCACAATCGGGTGGAGGACTCGGGTTCTCTCCGGTCTGGCGACCTTATTAATTGGGGCCCTTCGGCCGCCTCCGGTCCACCTCCGGTCGCGTCCAGGGGGCGTGGCCTCGGAGCATCCGCAGCGTTTAACCCCACCGGGGGCGGCCCGCGCCCTCTGGCCTGCGCCACGGCGCCACGGCCCAGCGCAGGGAGCCTGGAGCCTCCGGCCTCCCCCGCCAAGCCCCACCCTGCTCCATATGGATGGTGCCCGGAGATCAGGCCGGGATCACTGCGTCTCTTCACTCGGCCACCACCGCGCTCGCTCCCTCTCACTCCCCCATGTACACTCACACTGACGTGCACTCTCGCAGCAGACCGAAACCATGCACACCCTCGCGACTGCAGAACGCTGAACCAGTTCGCAGGCCTGCGATTTTCTGGCTCGGACACCTATCGTAGTAAGAGCTCCCCATTGTAACGGGCTGCCATCTTGGCGGTCCCCATTTCTACTGTCTTAGAAAACTCAAGCTTTTGCCAGTCCAAAAGTCACTCGAAACTAGAGGTTTTCAGGGAAGCCGAGGCAGCGAGCGGCCAGGCGACGACGGCAGGGGTCGGCACGGCAGCGCCAGCCGTAAAAGGTGACAGCGGGGGGCCATATTGAGGACCGGGGTTAAAATATAAATAAAAAGACCGAGTTACGAGCGGGAGCTCTCCAACCACAGAGCGGTGGCACAGAGAAAGGGGGGGGGGGGCGTGCTGCGGGGAACGTTGGAAGAAAAGAGACGACAAAAGTGGATTTGGGTCGGAAAAGCGCGCTGCTTATTATTGAGGCCCTATTGGGGCGCCGGACTTAAACGCGCGGGCTCGGCGTGCTTTTGTGCGTCCGTTTGCTGGCGACGCTCTGTCCGACTCTGTCAGCACGCGCGTTGACTGGCCATAAATTCCATAGGTGAGGGGTGAATTCGCTCACGGCGGGGCTCTCCTCGACGCCTCGCCTGTCTCCAGAAATCCCGCTCATATCACATAGAAAGATATGAAAATCCCGGGGCGGCGCGGCGGGCCAGCGCTGCCACTGCTCTGCGAAACCCTTGCGGAGATAAACTGGTGTACTTGCGCTCTCGCGCCCCAAATCACGACTTGGCTTTTCCCGCCAAAATTAACGGCCGATCGCCGTTTGGGCTAGCTGTGTGTTGGGGCAATTGTTGTCGGAAATCCTCCCGGCCGTGGCGAGCAGGGAAGGCCGGGCAAGGCCAGGCCGGGGCAATCACCATGTTATTGAATAAATTGAGTCACTCGCCTCACCCCTCACTGTGTAAACACTGCATGGCTTGTAATGCGATTCAATCCACAGGGATTACCAGCGCAGTCTCTCTCCCACCCCCTCCCCCACCATACTACCCCTCCCTCCCACGCAACAGAATAGCAAGGTGCCAGGAGTCAAGCCAGTCAAGCTGGGCCCTATGAACTCACAAAGCCATCTCGCAGAGCGTTCGCCCACCAACAAACTCTTTTACACCAGGTGCTTTAAAATTGAAAATAGGTCCCTGAATGTGATGCGACTCCTTCAACTCTCGGCCAAAGGCAAAAGTAGCGCTTTTAATGCCTATTTTGAATTTACCTTCGCTGAGCGCGGCCACGTCGTCCTCCAATGGCGACGTCGCTCTGCCGGTGGCCTGGAACAGCGTGTGTGCGAGGTGCGAGCGCAGCAGGCGCGCGGCCCGCGACGACCCCGACCGGGACTCGAACCCGGGCCCGTCCAGGTCCAGCAGCTCGGCGCCGGTGGAGGGGAACTTGTCCGCGTCCAGCGGCGGCAGGTGGAACTCCTTGGCGCACCAGCGCAGCCACGTGGCCACGTGCGTCGACGTCCATGTCTGCGGGTCTGCAACCAAAACAACAACGATCAGCTCAACGAACAATCAGTTCAACAACAATAACAATTAGTACCCCCGACAACAAACAATAAAAAGTTGGACATCAATTTCCCAGCTCGAGGCCCACAAAATCGGTTCCAACGGGAAACAACAATGGGAGTTGACGTTCAACGGAAAAATCAGATCTATGATCGCTGCAAAGCCAGTCGTAAGTTTGCTTGCCACAAATTTGGCAAGCCCTTTTGAATGCCAAAAATTGGCAAGCTTGGCCCGGAAATACTTCCCAGCTGGCCAAAATTTGGCAAGCTTTTTAAGACTTTCGGTCAAAGCTTGTCAAATTTTGGCATTCAAAACGGCGTGCAAAATTTGTGACAAGCAAACCTACCACTGACTTTGCAGTGATGACAACAACAATCAGTTCAACGACAACGATATTCAGGCGCGCAGAAATATTGTTTTCCCTGACGGAGAGTGGCACGCGGGCGAACACGCACAGCGGCTGCAACACCGAGCAGGTCGCAAAACTGCAGTGAGTTCCGCGAATCCGCCCCCCTTCCCCCGCCCCTCCCCAAACCGACGCGACGGGCGAAGGGATAAGCGCATGCACATCACACCCGGATCGCCCGCAATAACACATCCAGCCGGCGGGAGGGAGGGAGAGGGAAAGGGGAGACAGCGCCGCGCGCGCGCACTCGGCACGCCGCCGCCGTACGCAGCGCGCCGCAGCGCGCTCTCTCGGTCGATTACCGCAAACGACCTCAGTGATTGTAGGGACACTCACACAGGCGCGCGCACGCACACAGACACGCCAGGTGGGCCCGCGGACTCTCCCACGCTCACTACCGACTTTGCTGCAGCTCTCCTGTCTCTCCCTGGTCGCCCGAGGCGCCCCAGGGCGCTTCGGAGAGCAGCCCAAGGGGTACTTTACTTACTGTGGCCTGCTGTCCGTCGCGCTGCATCGCCCGGTCGTGTCCGAACGGTCTCGCTCTGTCCCTCTCGCACTCTTCGGCCGCCCCGGAGCGTGCGAGAGAGAGAGAGAGAGAGAGAGAGAGAGAGACAGAGAGACAGAGAGAGGACAGAGAGGCCCGAGGCGCCTGCCGGTGTGCCACGCCCCTCTCCGTCTCACTCCCCCTCACCTCTGCCCGACCCGATCATCGCGGAGATCAGTGGGCAGTCGCTGGCTCTACTCCCGTGCCGCGCCGTGCCGTGCCGTGCCGCGCCGTGCCCCACACCGAATCCTTACAGCCACTTACTCGCCCGGCTCCTCCGGCAGGACACATAACCGCCGCGGGCGAAAAGCGTGGTGAGCTACTCGCGCTGCGTTCCCACGGTCACTCCGTTTCGGCCCGCGATCATTTTTTGGCTCAATTGGAATCGTGCAGCGCCTATGGTCGCGCTCGGCGAACACTTGCAGGATGAGTCACTCTAGGATACGCAGCGCGCGCCCTAGGACAGCCGAAGGCTGGGTTAGTCTAGGCGTAGAGTTGTGGGTTGGGGGCGCCTTAATTATTTTACAAAATTACACACTTAAAACCTTACAAAGTATTTTGAGCATATGCTCAGTGCAAACTAATTTACTTTGTTATACGAAGAAATAGTTCGTAAATTTCGAAGTATTTTCTTTGTAAGCTTATGTATGCTCAAAATACCTCGTTATAACAAGCTGCTTTTCTTTGTAAAGCCTAAAATAGACGAAAAGGTTTTCTCAGTGCGTTTAGTTTTATTAGCTATTTGAGGCAACCTTAACTTAAAAACGCACCTAACAGAACAATACTTGAACGTGGTGTCAGCTACCTTATTTATATTTTTGATGGGCTTATATTGGTTTAGCCCTAATAAGACTTTTGCAAATTTCCAGGAATCTCAGACCGAGTAAGATTATGGCGGTTGCAACCAGCAGCTCCATCGCACTTTTTACCGCCGCAGGTTGCCGTGCGTGTCACGGGCCGCCGGGTCGGTGTTGCGCTGCAGTGTGAGAGAGACAACGACCCGGACCTGAGACAGATAGTCGTCGGTCCTGGTGCCCTCCAAGGCAGCCAGGCCGCCGGCCCGGCGTTGCGGCGCGGTTCCGAGAATCGGCCAGTGAATCACTCCCAACGCAACGCGAAAAGGAGCGGGGCCGAGCGTGCCGAGCCGAGTCAAACGCGCCGAGCCGAGCCGAGTCAAACACGCCGAGCCGAACGCGCCGAGCCGAACGCGCCGAGCCGAACGCCGGGCGCCGAGTACCGAGTCGAGCCGAGCGTTCCCGAACGGGCCGATCGGTGGCGGCGACTCAGGAAGGCCGGCAAGTCTCAGACCTCAAGGCGAATCGCGACCAAATCTCGCACCGGAAACGGATCTGATGAGGAGGCCCGTCTCGTCTTCCCGCGATTCGATTTTATTTTTGTTTTTTCGGCGCGGCTGCCTGTGGCGGCACTGAGTCAGATCGGCTTAGCGAGGGCGCCGTGCGCGGCCGGCAGGCGGCGCGCCGGTCGCGGTCCATTCATAAACCGAAACGGCGAGTAGCCTTGGCGGTTGGCCCACGCTGCCTTCACGCTGCCTCCACGGCCCGCGGCGGGGCGCCGGGCTACAGTGTACGCGCTCGCGGAGTGTTACTGCACATTACGCGGAGATGGGACGGGACCCGTCATCCATTCATTCGCTCCATCGGGTTTCCGTTCCGGTTGGGCGTGAGAACAGTCGGCTCAACCTTAAATTCATTCATTCATTCATTCATTCATTCATTCATTCATTCATTCATTCATTCATTCATTCATTCATTCATTCATTCATTCATTCATTCATTCATCAATCATTCGTTCATTCGTTCATTTATCAATCATTCGTTCATTTATCAATCATGTGTTCATTTATCAATCATTCGTTCATTCAACGATCATTCGTTCATTCATTCGTGTATTCGTGATGGCCATTCATTCATCTTTCATTCATACATTATCCGTTCTTTCGTTCATTCATCGTGACAACTACAAAGTAGCTCAGATACGTTACAGCGTGAAAGTCTTGATCTCGCCGTCATTCATCCATTTCGCGTATTGCCTTCACCGAACGCCCTTCTGTCCGTTCGTCCGTTCGTCCGTCTGTCTGACGACCGCCGTGACGTCGTGGATCGTCGTGACTCACTAGTGACGTCGCCCCAGCTCGGCACGTGACGCTCTATGAACGCCCTTCAGTCTGTCTGTCTGTCCTCAGTCTGTCCATCCGTCTGTCTGTCTGACCGCCGTGACGTCGCGGATCCTCGTGACTCACTAGTGACGTCGCTCCATTCATGGCTCGTCTCGTCACGTGACGTTCTAGGAAGCCCGGCGTACTCGAGGCGTTGACTTGTTGGGGCGGGTCCGGCCGCAATGCCGTCACACTGCAGTGTCGTGAGCCGAGCCGGGCCTCGAGCCGGGCGAGCTGCAGGAGGAGCAGTACAGTGGCCAGGACGTCGTGCCAAGAATACCGTCGCGGGGGCGGAGCAGCAGACTCATTCCGAGAGCTCTGTCTCTCTCGCACCTGTAGGGGAAGCCCGATGAGTACGAGAGAGACAGAGTGACGGAAACGAATCTCGGAATCGATCAGCACTGCTCAGCAGGCGTGGGTGTGAGTACACGGAGTGCGGAGTACACACACAGGTGGCCTAGGACCTCAGCATGACTTGAACGCAAGTGCCAAAACCCGCTTCCGAGAAGGGTTCTCCTTCCTTGTCAAAGCACACCGCCCCGGCAAACGTTGATGCCGAACACGCTCTGTCTCTCTCGCACTCCTGGGGTTGCGAGAGAGACAGAGGGCTATATCCAGATATTGTCACGTAACTCGCCGCTCGCGCCGACCGGCTGGAGAACTGGAGCCGGATGCCGGCAAGAATGTTCCCAGGCACGGGCCGCCAGCGCTCCGCCACGCCCCGTCTTCGCCCCGGGCGGCAGTTCACCTGGAGGCTGCAGGAGCCTCCTGGAGCCTCCTGGAGGCGGTCTAGCTCCAGGGCGACTCCAGGAGGGAAGCACATTCCAGCGCCATACGGCATTTTATCGGGAGCGGACTAATAAAGGAACGCATCCGCGGCTCTTGTTGTTGTTGTTTTTGTTTATCTTGTCCCAAATTGTAATAACGAGTTGCATTCCGTTTCTCACGCCGAACACGTACGGCGGCACCAGGAATGCGTCTCGGTATGGTATGGCATGGTGCTTCCCTGCCCTCCTTCCCCCTCTTCCACCTTCTTTTTCTTTCATGTGCTCTCATTTCGAAAATCTGGATCAACGTTTGGACTCAGATTAGTGAAAAAATGGATGCGTCATTTTCGGTTTTGGAGTTTCCAATAGTTTTCAATTTTCAAAGGATTCAGCGTGTCCTTGTTTAGTTATTTGCTCTTTGGATTTCGTTCGAGGACATTGGTCTAAGATTTTCTCTCAGTTTCTTTAGAATTTCAGTTTTGATTAAGGACGGTTTAAAAATTGAAACAAAAAAAACTTTTTTGGCATGTTTTTGGTATTTGTCTGAAAGAGATTTTTAAAATTTTGAGGTCCTACTAGCTCAGAGATGGATTTTTTATAATTCTAAAATAATTGAATTTTTGTCATTTTTATGTAGGAATTAACTATCGGTTATTCTCTTTTAAAATTGAGCGAGGCTCAATCAGCTGACTGCCGGCTGCGGCGGCAGCAAGTGGGTGACCACTGAGGTGCAGCGACTCGTCACCCCGACGGTCCAGTCTCGCAGCGATGAATCACCTCTCTGGAAAGCGCGCGGGAGAGAGAGAGAGAGAGAGAGAGAGAGAGAGAGAGAGAGAGAGAGAGAGAGAGAGAGAGAGAGAGAGAGAGAGAGAGAGAGAGAGAGATACGCAGAGAGAGACGGGTGGAGCGAGAGAGACGGAGAGAGGCACCGCGAATGAATGGGAAGAACGCCCTCTCATCATGGCAGTATTTTGGTCCGAGGCGTGTCCAGGTCCAGGCGGTGCGGTTCGCTCCGATCGCATAGCTTGCATTCCAGCGTGACGCGCTGGCCCGGCCCTTTTTGCGCGCATGCCTCATTCACATTCACATTGGTATACCGTGCGTTTCATTCGAGCCCTGTTTGAGGGCCGTTGGAGCTCAAATAGGTGTCCACATGTCACCAGTAAGGGTCAGTTGGGGTAATTATGGGACACGGGGTATAGATGGGACAGCTGATTCTTGGTCAAGATTTGACATGTTAGTACTCATGCCAAACAAAATGTTATTTTCACAATAATAGCATCACATTTATGGCACGAGTTCAAAATTGTAAAATCTTGACTGAGAATCAACTGTACCATTTTAACCCCTATGAGTACCTCAACTGACCCTAGCGAGAGAGTCGTTTTCGTCGCTTAGTCTCTCTCGCACCCATGCGGGATGCCCGGGGATGCCCGCCATGAGTCCCAGGGAGGCAGAACCGGGCAGAACTACGAAAATGACTCTCTGAATCTGTGTGCTGGGGTGCGTCGACGGGAGTCGAACCCGGGCACTCCGCCGGCACCGCAGCGCGATCGACCTCCCAGCCGACTGAGCCACGCGCGTCCTGGATTCCCTGCACACGAAATAACAGCACTCGGTGCCCGGTAGGTTCCCGCCCTGCAATCGGGTGAATCATAAGACACCGTGAATGAGAGGAAGACGACGATCTCGGCACATCCGCCGGCGGACCGTCTCTGTCGCACTCACGGGGCGACCCCCAGGCCCCGCAGGGGTGCGAGAGAGACAGACTGCTCGGAACCGCTCCGCTGGCTCCGCTGCACGTCCCGGTGCATGTACCCCAGTGTACCCACACCCGGGCCGCAAGAAGACCCCAAGTGCGGCACGGGGCGGTGCCGAGCGGTCGCTCTGTCTCTCTCGCACCGCCGCGGCGCGCCCCGCGAGTGCGAGAGAGACGGCCTCACGTCCTCGCGATCTGTCACGGCCGCGGCGCGGGATTACAGGACGAGGGCCGTGAATCCGAATCCGTCATTACTCGTCACGCGTGTCCGCGGTGGGTCCGCGGTCGGCGTGGACAGGTGGGCCCACTGCTGGAATGCGCGGCCATTCCGCGAACCGCCGCCGCGGTCCCCGGAACGCTGGAGGCGCTGGGGCCACTCATTCATCGCGCGGCTCCATTCATTCGAGCTGGGCGGCCACGGCGGCCACGTCATGGAAGAGTGGGGGGCGTCGACGCCGTGCTCCCGAGGACGCCGCCGGCCCCGTTTCTGCGGTCTCTCTCCTCCCACTCGACGGCGGCGGCGTGCGGCGCCGTCGGTGACTCAGTGCACGGCATGCTTGGCCGCGGCCAGCGCACGGTTTCTCGGTGTGCCTGCCGCCGAGCAGACCGCCGCCGGCGGCCAAAACTCGAGACGCGTTTTGGGCTCCAGAGTCGCTAAATGGGACTCGAACCAAACGTGTGACCCCACCATTGGATTCCTCGTTCGAAGAGCAATCCGTTGGTAGGGTCACAAGTTCGGTTCGAGTCTCGTTTAGCGACTCTGGAGCTCAAAACGCGTCTAGAGTTTTGGCCGCCTGTGCCGGTCTTCTGGCCCACTGTGCACCGGTGCTCTAGCGCCATGGGTGACACACAACACAAGGCACCTGGCGCGGCGCCAAGAGCCTACCGCTACCGCCCTTGGCGACGCGCGTATGTCGTGTCCGTGGGGCTTCCCTGGGGTTCGGGGTTCGAGACCGGCCGCCGCCTGCCGACACGCCTCGCTAGCCGCGTGTGTCTTCGTGTGTGTGAGTGTGTCTTCGTGCGCGTGTGTGTTGCTGCATACGGAGGGACACGCAGTGGAAAGCCCGCGGTGGTTGATGATTCAACGGCATGATGAGGTCCGTGAACCTGCCTTGACAGTGGCCCCGCGTGTTTTTCCCCCGCCGCGTTCACTGCACGACGGCCGAGCGCGTAGAAACGCCGACCCCGCAACCTCGAGAACAGGTGTTCGAATCCCGGCCTTCCCGGGCTTTTTGTGCGTCTCCTTTGCGGCACTGCATCGCTTCATTAAAGGCATAACCCGCTTTCGGCGAAGGCGGTCGCGGTGACGCGTTGTGAAACAGGACGGCGGGTTAAACATGTCGGCGATTCGGCTTTCCGTGTAAAAGCCGGCGGTCTGAAAGGCCTTCTCGTCGCTCTGTCTCTCTCGTACCTATGCGGGACGCCCATGAGTGCGACAGAGACAGAGCGGCGAAAAGGACCCTCGGAATCAGTCTGCTGGTTTTATTGGCTTCTTTCTGCATTCTATCTCCTTCCCGAGAAAACTCGCGCTCGTGTGTGTCCACGCGCTGGACAGGCGGAGGGAAGGGGGGAGGGGGAGTGGAGAGAGATGGACCGTTGTGGGCTCGGCTTGAAGAAGGTTGTCCTTCCGCGAATTGTATTACTTTGAGATGCCCGCCTCATCCTGCAAATAAGCAATGAGGCGCTAATTTGACTAAACTTCGTTCGACTCTCGAGGGTATTTCAAGCCGGGATGGTTCGGGTCCGATCGCCCGAAATTTGCGCGTCACTATTGGCGCAACCTTCTTGCAAATTTCACGAACGGACAGCGAAAAAAAAGTTGAGTGATTCATCAAAGAAGGGCTGTTCTTTTTTTACTCTTTTTTTTTGTGCGCGACCTGCGGCAGGCCTGGGGCCGTTCCGGGCGAAGGCTCACCGGAAGGAGAGGAAGCAGATGGCAAAACAGGCTGCAGTGATTCACCCAGGAGAAGAAGAAGAAGAAGAAGGAGGATAATAGTCTGAATCACGGAGTCTATTTCGCGAGCCGCGAGCCCTGGGCCAAGTCGGCTGACTAAGGAACGGCAAAAAATAATTTTCATCTGTTGCCTTTGTTGAACTACGGAACGGTCACTTGCCCCGATGTGCTTCGCAAGTCGTCATATGTTGCATGGTAATTTATTTTTTAATATGCAAATGTTTTGCGTTGGCTGCACCTCATGAGTATTTTGGTACTGACTCTTCTCTACCCTGCGTCCATAAAAGTTTCCTATACAGTATTAGTATGCATGGAAAAGAAATGACCGAGTGCGTCTTTTGTGTGCCTGGTCCGCCTGGTCACATCCAAGACCCCGTTGCAGTCGAATAATATCATCAAAAACAAATTTCCTCAATTATTTCTTTTATAGTGACGCTTGTTACCTCTGAGTTTTGACATGCTCATGTGTCCTGGTGCGAGCAGTGTCCTGGTTCTCTCAGAACTGAATAATAAATTTTAGACTTTACAAAGAAAAGTAGGTAGTAACAAAGTATATTAAGCATACATTAGCTCACAAAGAAAATACTTCGTGACTTACGAACTATTTCACGCCCAACAAACAAAATAGTTTCTACCTTACCTATGCTACCTTCTTAAGGTTCTAAGAGTGTGAATCATTTAGGAGTTTTAAAAACTGTCAAGAAAAGCAAGCCGCCGCGCGCTGCGGTGCAAAAGTGACAAATTCTCGCCCCTTTTCGTCGCCGCCCCGTTTGACTTAGTTGAGTTGACGCGCGCGACTCCACCATATTGCAGTGCAGCTCTCTGATAAATTCTCCGGTCCGCAATGAAGCGGCTCCAGATTTATCACGCATCTTTCTGGCGCTGATCCGCGCAAGCCGCGGCGCGCGCACGCCTCATATTTCGCACTTGAAATTTAATTAAAAATGGAAATGCGACGGTGGCGCCACCGGCGGCGTCGCGGTAATGAGCGAAGTTGCGGCGCGGGTGTACCTTAAAGGATTAGGGGAGTCAAATGGGGCCGCAGTGGCGCAGCGCCACGCGGACGGGATTTCGGTCAACTACCAACCTGCGAATCGGAAAAAAGGCGGGACTCGAATCGGACTTGTGACCCCACCAATGGATTCTTCGTGAAAAGAGCGATCCAATGGTGGGGTCACACGTCCGATTCGAGTCTCTTTTGACTGAATAGGGGAACCCATTTGGTTCTCGTCAAGCTTGAATCAAGCAAGTTTTTAAGATCATCCTCTGCGTACACTCTAAATGCTTATGGACTTTGTGATTTTAAGTGTACATAAATCAGGTACAATTTTATGAAAAAAAAAATTGCAGAATATGGGAATGTTGTCCCCAATTTATGTATCAAATTTTATAAAGCTTACTCATGCACGTGGCAATAGTTATGGACAATGAAAGTCCATAAACGTTTAGTGCGTACTGATGGCCTCTTCGTTTCAAAGCGATCCATCGACACAACCACGCGTTTGATTCGAGTCCCATTTGACGGATGGAAATGTCTTCAACTAGTCAACAGCCCAACGCGCACACACGCAAATCGAGAGTGCAAACCCGGCAATCATGATCTTTTTCCCTGAAGGTATCTGTCTCGCTGCCCCTCTTTCTTTGACGGAGATCGCAGCCAATTAAAGTCAACCCTTGAGACCGCCCTTCCTGGAACGTGTCCGCCGCACTGCAACCTCAAAGGGTGCGAACCGCCTTGCATTGCTACTCGGAAAAAAGCGGTTCGCGGAAAATGCAGATTGCATTATAAATTGCGCTGCCCCGACGGGCATCATCTGCAGTGATCACTTCGTTGTGAAGGATAATTTCTTGTTTTTGTTTCAGTGTGTGTGCGGGTGGTTGGGGACTCACATTCGCATCGTGAACAACTTAAGCCACCGTCGGAGGTAAGTAAATACAATTCCCACGAACCCTGTAAACCCCGCAAACCACAGTGGACGACAGTGGGCCAGAAGACCGGTGGAGGCGTTCAAAATCCCGGACGCGTCTTGAGCTCCAGAGTTACTAAATGAAACAAGACCCGAACGTGTGACCCCACCAATGGATTGCTCTCCGAACGAGGAATCCATTGGTGGGATCGTTCGGTTTGAGTGATGTTAAGCCAGAGCGGCTCAAAACGCGTCTAGAGTTTTGGTCACCTCCACCGGTCTTCTGGCCCACTGTGCAAAAACGACCTGCTTTGGACTCACCGGAGGGCAGGGAGGCGTCCTCCTCGCTGGCAGGGTCGTCTTCACTATCACTGTCCTTGTCCTTATCACTGGACCTGACGGCGGCTTTGGCTCCTGTCCTCTGCGCCGCCGGCTGAGATCCTTTGCTCCTCCTCTTCGTTTTTCTATCACAGACTTGATCACTGATTGTCGCACTCGCGGTGGAGCAGCCCGGGTCCGACAGGCTTTGCGCGAGGCGCCGGTTCGTCCTCAGCTCCGTGAGGGTGACGCTGCCGGCCGGGCTGGGGGTGGGGGCGGGGCTGCAGCTCACAGTCTCCAAACTTTGTACTGACGTTGGCGCCGAGGCGGGGCTGGCGAATGCGACGCAGTCCTGGACAGCAAAGTCTTGAGCTGGACTGGCGAAGTCCTGAGTGGGGCTCGCGAAGTCTTGAGCAGGACTGGCGAAGTCCTGAGTTGGGCTAGCGAAGTCTTGAGCTGGACTGGCGAAGTCCTGAGTGGGGCTTGCGAAGTCCGGGCTGGCAAAGCCCGGGACAGGGCTGGCGAAGTCCTGGGCTGGACTGGCGAAGTCCTGCACCGGGCTGGGGAATTCAGTCTCCTGACTCTGTACTGAGGTGCGCCCCGACGGCTCCGAGGGACTGTACGTCACGGGCGTGATGTCCTGCCCGGCGTACAGCCCCGGGTTCACGACGTCATACAGCTGCCCCGGCGGCGACATCCAGGCGGTGTCCTCCAGGGCGTCCTCCAAGGCGTCGGCGTCGCGGTGCCGGTCGCTGCCGGCCAGCAGGTAGTCGATGATGCCCTGGAACGGGTGAGCTCCGTCGCCGG